TTCGTAATCAAGAGTTTCATTGCCAGGGAGAAGCGCTTTGTCCTCTTTTTCGATGTATTTTAAATACTGACTGAATTGGTCCTTCGATGAGTCGATGCTAGTGACGGTCTGCGGCTTGTCTTCAACCACCTCGTAGCAGTGGTCCTCCACCAGTCTGAAAGATTTGATCCTTACAGGCTTCCTGTTGTTTCTGGCCTCGTCTTTGGCTTGCTTGGTGGAAGAGAAGCGAGCCATGAGAGTGTACTTCCTGGAATTAATCAACGCACGCTTCCGTCGGCGCAAGACAACAACTGCGAAAGCTACACAGATAGCTAGAAGAAAGAAAACGCTGGAAAGTATTAAAGCTGTGTTTGCAGACAGCGAGCTGACGCTGGAGTTACAGCAACAGACTAGTGAGTCATTCAGTGTTTCATTGCAATAGCTTAATGTAACGTTTGTGCAAATCTCAATACATTCTTTGCTTTGAACACAGCACTGGTTCTTTGAAGTAGAGGTGGTCTGTATTCTGTTCGATAGATGCAAATTAAACATTGGTATTTTTATTTCAGTTATTCCTATTTACTCTCTCTCTCTCTCTCTCTCTCTCTCTCTCTCTCTCTGTCTCTCTCTCTATATCTCTCTATTTCAGTCTTTTTCTAAGTCTCACTACTAATCTCCCTCACTTTCTCTCTCTCTCTCTCTCTCTCTCTCTCTCTCTCTTTCAGTTTGAATAGCCAGTAAGCGTCCAGTCAGTTGTAGCAAATTCAGTATATGTAGTCAGTCGTTAAAGTAAGTTTGTATTTCCGTTTTAACAAAAAGTCATGCAACAAATAGACAAGTCTTAAATATGTTATTGAAATAAGTTTTGAGAATTTAAGTAGTGTAGATATTTGACCATAGTACAAGAGAAGCTAGAAAGTTAACAAAGTAACCCAGTCTAATATTTGTGAAAAAAGTGATCTCAGTAAATTGTATTTATCCAGGCGCAGACTGGTTATATGGGCATTCTGGCAAATGCCCGGTGGGCCCAATGGGTCTGTAGGGCGACCAAATCCACGTAAAGGGCCGCATGGATGCCACTATGACACGTATTGTTCAATGTTTTATAATATTCTCTTATAAAAATGACCCCATTGAGTGTCGTGTTAAAAACAAAACTGTGTGTAGTGTAATACTATTTTAAAGTAGTTAGATTAAATTAGTATTACACTGCAATCTAACACATTTTCCGAAATAATGTAATAGCCTACAATGGTAGACATTTTTACTAGTAAGCTTTATCCTTTTAGGATCTACATACCAAGCGATTAAAAAGCAACATAAGGTCGACATATTGTAGTGCTCACCTTAAAGGTTTTAGACAGCTATTCTTGAACTTTAAAACATAATGATTTTAGGGATCATATGAAATACATTTTATCGGCCGGATCGTATAAAAATGCCCAGGCCGATATTGACACCCACTCCGCCACTGTATTTATCTATAATCTTTATGGAAGTTATATGTATTTTATGTAAAATAAACATGATATGATATCAAGTTCGCAAGTAGTTCCTAGTTCCTGTGATTGTTTGTTCGTCCAGTATCCGGACTGTATTGCTATGTATGAATGATAACCCTAAGAGTGATATACATACAAGTATCTTATGATATGTATTTCGTGATGATCATCATTCTCTTTAACCTCTCTCTATTTCTCTTTCATTATTTCCTTTCTTTTTTTAAATACATCTCACTCACTTGCCTATTGAATGTGTACTGTCTCTAAACCTTTCCCCTCTTTTTTCCTTGCTGTTTATTTGTTCCAGTTCTTTCACTTTATATATTTCAAGAAATTCGGCTTTTTAAAAAAAATCGTATCTTTCCATTTCGCTCAAACATAAATTTGTTAGTCTGTCTGTCTTTTATTTTGACTGTTTCTCATTAAATCTCTCTCTTTTATCTTTTCTCTCTTTAATCTTTCTTTCAAGTGTTGAAACAAAATTATTGTCATAACATTTCAACAAGTCACTAATTAATAAATAGCCTAAAAGAAATTCAACTTACGAGTTGATAGAATAAGTGATGTTGCTAACCCCAGGGGGCCTTGTTGCATTAGCGAAACATAAAATATTTTGATTCCAAATGAAAGTTGTGATTACCAAGCAGAACTCTCCGGCATTTAAAGACATGAATGTTGTATGTTTTAATTTGATCATTTTAGTCTATTATAGCATTGTAATCATTATTTGTATCAATTAGGTTTGAGGGTTCATCTATTCAAAACAATCATGACTCAGACTTTCGACGGAAAAAAGAAATTTGAACTACATCGAATTGAACCCACTAAATTACTTCCCTTTTATTTTCAAGTTCAAGTATTTTCTAATGATGCCCAAATAGTGTGATCAATCAGCTCTATGCTAATCATATACTGGAGAAAAAAAACATTTCGTCTGTTTGATTCTTACCCGCTGTGGCCTTGATTGCTGAGTTCGCCTGGACAACATTTAAATTCAACTTATGCAGCAAGCTGGACTTAGGGGTTTACTCAATTTAGAATATAAAAAATTTTCAATTAAAAAAAAAGTAAATTTGTCTGTATTGGACGAGTATTGAACGAGTATTTCCACATGTAGCATTATATTATTCAAGAATTCAATAAATCAATATTCAGGAACAATTTGCGCATTGTTGTCTTACACTAGATATAAAGGCCTATCATTGGATTATTGTATAGTCTAGTACATATATATATTCGCTTAATCAAGATGATATCTTACATAAATTAGTTATTAAAAGCAAATTAATCGCTTTAGACATTGTAAAAAGGATGTTTGGTCTTTTTTTTTCAAAAGTATTTTTAAAGCTTATATCAACTCACTCTGTATGTCTGTTTGTCTGTCTGTTTGTCTGTCTGTTTGTTTGTCTGTCTGGTAAAAAATGTTTACACGTTATATCTCCAAACACCCAATCTCGAATCAAGCTTAAAACTTCGCACGATTATTCCATGACACTCAATTACTGGTAACTCGTGTATTTTTTCAATAGCAACAAGGGAAAATAATACTCTAGTATTTACAGATATAGCTAAATTTGTTGGGTTTAGTCCCCTTTAATATTTGTTCACGCTATTTCTCCCTCAATTATTCTCCGAACAACTTGATACTTTAAACAAGTATTTATTGTACCTCACAAAACATAAATCCACAAACAAAAATACCCAATTAGTCAATTAATTAGTGGTAATTAATTATTTTGTTTGATACCGAAAAAGAGAAATAACTTTTACATTATTGGTAGATGTAGTTTTAAAGGCAGCTTAGTTGTTGTTTTTTTAAAGAAAAGGATATTTTAATATTTTGTTTGTAAATTAATGTTGCTTTTTTGTTGTTGTTGTTTTTTGGTTTTGTTTTTTTATCTCGCGGTATAAAAGCTGGAATTATTAGCTTGAAGAAATTTAACTTTCCTGACATAAAAGACTCGCATTAAAAAGTGACTTCTAGCAACCCAAAAAAAAAGGGGGGGGGGGAAGAAATTTTCAATGTCTTACTTATAAGATGTAACAAAGCAGCTAAAATATTTAAATTTATGTTTATTTATTTTATATTTATATTTGGCTATTATTAAAATATTAATTTCTACAATGCGCCTTTAAGTTTGAGAAACGCTGCTGTAGATTCTCTGTACTGTTCAGGACACAGCAAGTGGTCAATTTTGACATTCCTGAGTATTGACAGGGAGGCTCAGTGCTCATTTGCCAACTATACTAAACCACTTCAGATTAGAGTCACTGCGACTAACAGTAAAATATTCGCAGCGGTTCAAAGTTTAACTTTAAAAAAAAAAAACAATCCATTCTCTTAAAATGTATTTTTAGTGAGTCATCTCAAGAGAATACACTTTGCTATGTTTAACACTTTTACTTATATGTTGAGAGCAATCATTATAAAGACGGTTTTTTTTTTGTTAATTCACACATAAGAAAGAACCGAGAGCCGATGTGACAGAGGAACATTTGTTAGAGAGGAAATTATATTATTGATGAGAACATACTAGTAATGTGGGTGCTGTAATAGACGTGGGGGGGGGGTTGTTCAAGATTTGAGAAATATAACGACATGAACGCTGTGGGATAAAAGAGATACTTGTGGATGGTAGAGCTGTAATGATGTTAGAGATGTGAGGATGGTAGAGCTGTAATGATGCTAGAGATGCGAGGATGGTAGAGCTGTAATGATGTTAGAGATGTGTGACTTTGCGGAATGTGAAAGAAATGAGAGATGCAATGATTTATACGAAACTGTAGAGACGTTAGAGATGTGAGAATGCTAGAGATGTGAAGATGGTAGATCTATGAAGGTGTTAGGATGCCTTCATGTTAGAGATATGATGATGTTAGACATGCCCTTCATGTTAGAGATGTGGTTATGTTAGACATGCCCTTCATGTTAGAGATGTGATGATGTTAGACATGCCTTTATATCAGAGATGTGATAATGTTAGACATGCCTTTATGTAAGAGATATGATGATATTTGAGATTTGAAGATGTGAGAGACGCCTTAATGTTAGAGATGGGATAATGTTAAAGATGTGAATATGTTAGGGATAACAATGAGGCTTCGAATTATAAGAATGCTAGAGTCGGTCAACATGTTGAAGGGCTTTACATATGTAAGAATGATAGAGAAATGTTGATATTTGACATGAGAACTCAAGTGTGGTAATGGAGTTGCGGGACATGTGATGAAGAGTTCAATGCAATGCAATGAAAAGACATGAAGACACAAGCATTGTGGGGAGGTCAAGATGTAAGTAATGTGAAGTAGCTACAAAAATGTTGAATATTTTGGAGGGGTGGGGTGAAGATGTGAAAGGTCAACGTTATTTTAGAGTTGTGAGATATTTTTGAGAATCTCAAAGGTGTTAAAAAGTGGGCGAAGTTTGAGACTTGACAATCTCCGTGGGTGCTAGACAGGTAAATACAATGCAGAATAATGACAACAAAAATGATATGAAAAATATCATTGAAATATTTATTTTTCAAGAGAACGGAATTCTAACATAATGGAACAAAACAGAGATTTAGATACTGATACATTAATGCTAGAAGTAACACGTAATAATGAAATTTAAAAAATATAAATAAATATAATATAATTGACCAAATGCATAAAGTATTTCTTCTTAGCGGATAAATATTAAATACGAAATTATGTTTAAATAATATTTTATTTATAATAAGCATGGTAAAAATATATCTTAACAATTGTATCAACTAAATATGTATCTTAACAAATAAGCCATTTGATGAAGACTGTGCTACTATAAACCCTTCTTTGCATCTAATGATTCATTAGAAGCGTGTAGTAAATTCAAACACATTAACACAGTATCACAGGGAATCTGAACCACAGATACTAGTAACTAACACTAACCCACAATTTTTCCATTTTTCTTGCATTCTTATGCCATGACCCCTGACCCTAGTTCTTGAAGCTTAGCATATGGAATTGTTCATTCTAAAGTATTTAAAATTACAGATACATTCATCACTCTAAGCAAAATAACTAAACACATTTCGCAACTTAGATGCTGTTCAAAAATTCAAATAACTTCTTTCTTTCTACATTATTGCTGGCTGTCTTTAACTTATCTCTTTATTTTTCAGTATACTAGAACATTTAGGATGATAGAAAACTTTCATAAAATTGTGTATATTCAATGCGTTATTAAAAAATAATTAAAAAAACAAAACAAAATGGAGAAAAGACTTATTTCAATCAAAGCTATTTTATATAGTAACAATATAGGTCATCTATTACATAGTAACAATATAGGTCATCTATGATATAGTGAAGGTAGCGTAAATCTAAGGAAATCTTTTTGACCACAATTTTCAGTAGCTAATAGAACAATTCAAGCTCCTGAGGGTAAATGCTACAGAAAAAATGCTGGGTATCAGATTGTAACAAATGACTTTTACAAGTCAACACTCTGGCTGACAACTGTAAAGAGACGAACGTTGAGCTAGCTTTGGTTATTAGGGCTCAATTTCAAAAGTCATCTTACAAGGTACAATGGAGAGAGCACAACGAATAGGTCGTCCAAAGAAAAGCTGACTGGACATCGTAATAGAATGGACCCGACTCTCTCTCTTTCTCTCTCTCTCTTTCTCTCTCTTGATATCCTGCCAAGAAAAACTGCTAACCAACAAGAGCGAAGGGATTTTAATACTCTTATCGTATAAAAATTCAGATGTTACTTCAAAAAGAAGATTACGTCCTAAGCGCCACGCATCTAGTCAATGCCTTAAATTCTGCCAAGTCATTGGTTTTTCCTGGCTGGCTCAGGCAATCCATTCCATGCCCTAACAGCACAAGGGAAGAAGGAGCATTTGTACAAATTTGTCCTAGCTTATGGAACGAGGAATGTGCCTTTATCTTTGTGTCTTTCTGGGCATTTTAGTATGTCTTGTATTTGTATTCCAACCATCACAGACACATATCATAAAAGTCAAGGGACAGATGAGCGGAGGATAGAGTATTTTATGAATTATGTAAAGAATAATGACAAAGACTTACACTTTTAATCACACGATCCATGGGCACATTAGGATCAAGTAAATCATAATAGAGAAAACACAAATTAAGACCAACAAGAAAAGTTACGAAGAAGTAGATGCACAGCATGTCAGCTAGATTTTTTTCTTTCCAACGAGTCTGCTGTATAATAAGAGTCACTAAAATTTCTTTCATTTATACAAAATTGACAATACCTATGAACTTGCTTAACTGAGATGTAAGGCTATAGAAAGATCATAGGTGTGTCCGTTAAGAAGGAAGAGAGATGATTATTACAGGAGTTGGACCCCACGATGACCTGAAAACCACTTTTAAAAAAAAAAACGTAAACTTAAAATCACAAGGTCCTCAAGGCTCGCAAACACCTTCCTTCAAGAAACAGTACCAGGAAGAAGAAGAGGAAGACAGAGAAAGCGATGGGAAGACAACATCAAAGAATGGACAGGCCTTTCAGTGAATGAAATTCTATCCAAGGACTCAGGGTAAAAGGACAGAGAAGAATGGAGAAAGAGTGTTGACAGATCTAGTGTGATGCCCCAACGTTTCAACAGACTAAGGGATAGGTGAAAGTTAAATGCATCGCATCAAAAATGTATCAAAGAAGAATATTCTTACGTTCAAAACTTATAATATGAGATGGCGGGAAACGAAACCAGAAATTGCATAATTATCTTCTCTTATATAATACAGACGTTACTTCAAAAAAGAAGATGATTACGTCCTACGCGTCATGCATTTAGTCATGCATATTAACCAATGACTTAAATTCTGCCAAGTCACTGGTTTTTCTGGCTAGCTCAGGCAACCCATTCCATGCTCTAATAGCACTAGGGAAGAAGGAGTATTTGTACAAATTTGTCCTAGCATAGGGGACGAGGAATGTGCCTTTATTTTTGTGTCTTTTAGAGTATTTTATTAAGTTTTGTTTTTTTATTTAAAGATTATGGTTCAGTGTTTTATGTATAATTGCTACTTTACTTTTCAGTCTTCTGTCCTAAAGGCTTTCTAAATTTAGTGATTTTACTAATGGTGTTACTCTAGTCAAATGTGAATATTCGTTTGTTATGAATCTCACTGCTCTATTTTGTGTCTGTTCCAGTTTCTGAATGTTTTCTTGAGTTGAGGGAGTCCCAAACGGAGGATGTATATTCTATTATTGGCCTAACCAAGGTTAACGTTTAGTTTTAGGTTCTTAGTTCATTTATAGAAATTCCTTTTAATAAACCCAAATGGTTTTATTTGATTTTTTTATAGTTTCATCAATATGTGGATTCCATGACAGTTTTTCATTTATTATAACACCTAGGTTTTTTGCGTTTTTAGTCTGTGTTACTGGTTTGCCATGAATAAGATAAGTGGAATTAATTTGTTTTAGTTTTTTTGTTACTCTTAACAACTGACATTTTTCTGGGTGGAAGGACATGCTCCAATTTGATTCCCATTTCTGTACTTCATTTAATTCTCTTTGTAAAATATCTGTGTCTTGTGTTGTTTTTATTGTTCTATATATTATGCAATCATCTGCAAATAATCTGACTTTTGTTCCTGAAGTAATGCAATTTGGTAAATCATTTATGTAAATTAAAAATAGTAGTGGACCCAAGACTGTTCCTTGAGGTACACCTGAGTTTACTGTTATTGGTGTTGATTTAGAGCCATTTATTATTACAGTTTGTTCTCTCCCAATCAGAAAATCTTAAATCCACTGATGCAGTGGACCATTAATGCCGAAATATTTTAATTTTTTAAGCAAACAATGGTGGTGAACTTTGTCAAAAGCCTTGGAAAAAACTAGTAGAATAGCATCTATTTGTTCACTATTATCTAAAAAAAAGATAAATAGAGTTACAAATGTAGTTGGCAACACTGTGAATAACATAAATATATATAATGGGTACTGTGGTAACAATTAGCTAAATTTTAATGACAACAAGAATAAAGGTGAAAATAAATACAATAACTATAATAGATATTTTATATATTATCTATTTCATTTTGGGATTTAGATATAATTCTATGTTGAATTATTCTAGCATTGAAGAAACATGAACAAATTGAGTGTCACTAAATAAGAATGACTGCCTATATTGTATGGTATACTCTCTGGGCAGTCATCTTGATAGCCCTGGTTTGAAGCCGAGCCCAATGCTAAACTTGAGAAGAGTGGGTTAGGATGTTGTAATCTTTCAATAAGACGTAACATCCGAAACATGCAAAACAGAACATCATATGCAATCTTAACATCATATGCAGCTTGACATCATATGCAATTTAAAAAAAAAAAATAATATCCTTCAAATATACTATTTAAAATGATATTTTAACAATAACAAATAATAAATGACTGCTTGCACACATACACATATTCCATTTGCATTTACCTACATCTAAACATACGCATATGTTTAACCAAACAGGCAATTTGGATATTAATCACATTTATTTCTTACGTAGAACGTCTTTCAACTTGTTTATCATTAATTGGCATAATCAGTTAGTAGAAATTTTATTATTGGCGCTAAAAAGGATTGGCCAGTTGAACTTTGGAAATACACAATGAACAATAAAAATACAGATCTATATGTAAAAAAAAATATATAATGAGGGTTTTACTTTTAAAAGGACTTAGCGATCCACGGGACCGAGGATTTCAAACACATCTGCTTCTGGCCGTTGGTTTACTAAAGTGTCAAGTTTTTAACGAAGCGACCAAACTCTTTTTCTTTGCCAAATATGCCAGGTAGAAATGGGCGGAATTTAGGCAAAGTAAAAAATACGAAACTTTAAAATTCATATCGAAATAAGAGCTTGAAACTTCTGGTATTTTTTTTTCTCACTTGAATATTCTTTATTCTCAAAATATAGGAACAAATTCCAAGACGTCTTTGCTAAACAATTTTTCTTTCACATTTTAAAGCTTTTTGTTATGGTTGCTTCATCTGTAAGTGGCGTGGCAAAATATGCGAGCAGTGGCTTTAATTTATATACTCCTAAAAATAAGCAATATTCCAAATATTTTGGTGCAGATTTATATTATATAGATATTGGATTCTTAAGTGACTTTAACTAATAGTAACCTTATATTTTTCATTTGGTAACAAAAAAATATTTGTACTTTTTGAATCAAACCTGGTTTGAAGTTCTATGTTGTTACAGTTTGAACCTCTGAGTTGTTACAGTTCAAACTGTAACAGTTTGATCTACTCGGCTGCTACATTCTAAAGTCAGGATTGTTTCTGTTTTATACAAAATAACTTTATTGCTTAGACTTCCAGAGATGTTTTTGTTTCGTCTAAACTCTGGGAGCGGGGCAGAGAATATCTCCGGGCACTTTGTAAAGCTTTTTTCTTTCGGCGAACAGCGACAAAGACGATAACAGCTATAAGTGCACACAGGGCGACAGCTCCAGTGATGCTTGCCGCGATCATGAGTAATGGAGAACTGGAGGTCTTCTCCTTGGACGCGCTGTAATTGAGGAGATGCTCTTGCAGGGCGACATTTAATTGTATGCCATCGGTGTTATTTTCGTAATACCTAAGGACATCCATGTTTACGTTTACTGTCGTCAGTTCTGCAATTTGATTCGTTACAACACTTTGATTTGTAACAGCACTTTCTATTGTATTAGTTTCAACGAGTGTAAAACCTTTCGTCTCCATTGAAGATTGTATTTCATTTTGTATAGTCGATGACGTAGACGAAGTGTTTTCCAATGTCTTGAGTAATTCTTTACAAAAAGATTTCTTCCCAGCTGAAGTCATGCGAGACGTAGACAAATGATCTGGTTCTTTGCCTGTAGCATTAGTTGATTTGTTTTTAGTGTGTGTGCATCTCTCGTTGATATTCAAAATTGACTTGTCATAACACTCTACTTTAATGTAATCATTCCAGAAAATGTTTAGACCACAAGCTAAACAGTCATTCCCCAGACTACTGCGCGTATCCCAGATGCCTTTAATGTTTATTCCTAGTTGATCTTTTTGGCACTTGTTATCTGTATTGGAACAGGTAAGACGAAATTCCCCTACATTTGAGTTTAGAATAAATTGAGACTTGCATAAAAGATTTCTTCTATATCGGTGATGTGACTTGTCAAGCGATTTATTTCTAGAGGCATTAGTAAATACTATAGACGAACTGTTTTTATTTATATTGCTGGCTACTGCGGTGCATTTTTCTACTGATTCATCACATAGGCAAAGTATGAAACTGTCAACAAAAAAAAGTATCAATTATACATTTACTAAAATCTTAATATAAATACAAATGCTATCAAATGTATTGTGAACAATCATAAATTAAATAGAAACTATTCTTCTATGTCAATATGCATAAATAATATTAAAAGTTAATTATTGGATTAAATTTTTTTTAAAAGTCATTCTTTAACTCTTTCCACGTTTCAAAGGAATTCTTCATTTGGCTCATTACTATATCACTACCCTGTCATGATTAAGCTTCAATAGCTTGGTTGTTTGTTATCAGAAAATGTTGTATTTGGTATAGGATTAGAGGGAATTGCATGCTCTTTTTTTATTTAACAAAGTCAAGTTTATAAAATTAAGAATTAATTTAATTTAATGAGGTCAAATCAACGATGGTATCGTCGATTAGGAGAGAAAGATTTAAGGTACAGTGGAAGGAGCAAGAAGAGATGGTCGTCCAAAGAAAAGCTGGATTATGACATAAAAGAATGAACCGGTCTCTCATGATGTCTTTCTAAGATCCTCTGCTGACAGAGAAAAGTGTACCCGAACTGCCACATCACCCCTACGACCAAAGTCAATGGACAGATGATGTTGATAGTAATCAGATTAAGAAGAAAAAAACATACAGGTGATGCAGATTCTATTAATGGCCTGACCCAGTTAAAAAAATAAATAAAGTGAAGTTATTTAAAGTGTTATTTAGTGTCTTTTAAAACGGCCATGAGACCGTTTTATTGTGGTGCATGTATTCATAATGACTTTTTGGGTGAAGTAAAACCTTTAGATCGTTGCACACTTCTAACGGTTCATCAAAGTGACTTTTTTTGGCGCACAAGTTAAAAAGACACGAAACTTGCAGTAAAAAAAACTGCTTCCTTTCCTGCTTTTAAAAATAGACAAGTCTCACGACTTTCCATTGTTTCTACGTTTGTATTATTATATTGGAAGGTTTAAATAATTAGACTAAAATTTGAGATGAACTGCGCTGTAGCTTCCAGATCAGTTAGCTTTCCCATTTGGTTTTTATTCTATATTGGTGTTCTATGTCCAGTGCTTTGTTTGGACATCTAGTCTAGATGGCGAGCATACATCTTTGGAGGTCATGGTCGGCATTCTCTGTTGACACTCAATAAGGACTAATTTCCTTTTCTCGCATTCAACTTCCGGAACATATGTTGTCTAATTTGGTTTTGTGCGGTTCTCAGGACGAAAATTTATTTGAGTGAAGTCCCTTTGTAGATCTCTGGTTCTAATTGTGTACTGAAGCATTATTGTATTAATTCTCTGTCTCACTAACAAAACATTTTCTGGAATGACTTATCTTATCTTATAAAATGCAGACATTACTCCAAAAAAGAAGATGGTCATACACGTGTTCTTATCAATCTAGTCATGCATGTTAACCAATGACATAAATTCTACCAAGGCACTGTTTTTTTTTTCTGGCTGACTCAGGCAACCCATTCCATGCTTTAATATCAATAGGAAAGAAGGAGCATTTGTACACATTTTTTACTATCATACAGAACAAGACATGTGCCGTTATCTTTGTGTCTTTCTGAGTACTTTATTACGATTCGTTGTTGTATTTGAAGATTATGGTTCAGTGTTTTATGTATAATTGTTACTTAACTTTTTTAAAGTAAAAAAAAATAATTAGATGCAATTGAACGTAAATTAATGCTTAAAATTGTATCTGCCTCTACTGTAAGTCTTATTCTTCATTATAGACCCGCACAACGTTTTCAGTTACACCTAGTTTTAACGACCTAGATCTAGAATTTTTCCAAATGAATAATGCCATTTTGTCTTCATAAATTGAGCTCAACCATCACCTCATCTGGCGCAACAGGGCCGGCCTTAGGCATAGTCAAACTACGCAGCCTCTAATTCGTTGGGGCCTCGCACAAGACTATTTAAGAATTTTGGAGAAGAAAAAAGCAAATTTTGGATCAAATCTCAAACATAACAGAGCTTTTTGACTCGTCTATTAGCCTAGCTCTAAATTTCTAATGTGATTCAAGATGCCTTAAGGAACGCTACGGGAATAGTGCCTGGTATGGATTTATTTTCTTGATGTTTCAATTCATAGCGTGATTTTAGTTTTAGTCTTCTCATTTTTATCTCATTTGGGCCCCCCCCCCACCTTATTCATTTCGCTTAGGGCCCCTTTAATCACCCCATGCGCACCCTGCTGGCAAAAAAATATAATTATTTTTCTTTAGTGTAACCTAAAGAATGTATACCGTAATGTAATGTTATTACTAGCCGTCTGTATAATTCTTCTTATTCTTACTGTAAATAAGAAAACGTCTTGGTTCTAAAGCGTCGCCTAGAGAGTTCTTGTTTTTTAACTATCTGTCACGTGACTTGTCGCTAAGTAAAACTTTCCCCTTGTTCCCGAAACAAAATAAACTAAATCCTAATCATGTCATAACAATAACAATTACTAAGAGCGCCATGTGTAATTTTATAAGTATAACGAGCCCTTACATATAGATAAACAGGGAGTCTCATGCTGGTGAAGAATGGGGAATGATGGGTACTGTTATCGCTTGGTCTCAGACTTAAAGGGAAGCAACCTTTGTATTCCTTTGGGTGTATATTTCAAGCCAATGACATATATATGTTGGTATCATGTGGATGTATCTTATAAAGATAGAACTTGAATACTGTAGTGCAACTGATTTATTTTCTGCGTGTGTTCGGCGTGTCAGAAGGACATGTCCAGTGTGTATATCATGCCCAGTGTGTGTGTGTTTATAGTACTGCATCAGTGTTAGGTGAGTCGTGCTGGTTTAATTCTCTGTTTACTGTGGTCTAATTTTGTCGAATAAAGCCATGTTATTGGTATACTAGTATTTGTTGTTTCATTACAATTTATTCTACAAAATTATGTGTCAGGATTAGTGTTGGAATTCTTAATCAACAATGGATATATTACTCAGACCGAAAGAGTTGGACATTGATTCAAATGCTTCTCTGGCCTCAGAAAAATTTTCTCACTGGTATGACACATTTCAGAATTTCCTTTCGTCCATCAAGGATATTAACGAAGACTTTAAACTAAAGTTGTTGAAATAATTACATTTTCAATAGACATTTGGTTGTTACATGTAAACAGAAGCCGCGTCAAACGGTCGTGTCCTTTATGCTTAAGTTGCGAAGCCTATCCCGGGACTATGACTTTAAAGAAGTAACTGCAGAACAGCATAGAGACATTTGCATTAGAGACGCCTTCATAACTGGTCTGGCATCCAACACTATTAGACAGCGGTTGCTGGAAAAGCCACTCTTACTCTACAAAGCGTTTATGACGACGCTAGAGTGTTAGAAACAGCCACAACGCATGCGCAGGCTTACAATTCAACGAACGAAATCTCTTGTGGGGCAATGAAAACGCCAACTCACTCCCATCTATAAACATCCATTTCTAGTGAAAATAAGGAATAGAATGCCATTAAGTCGCTAAGCTACTTATGTGGTAAGAGGAGACACTGTAGGACTGAATGTCCTGCTCGATATGCATTATGCCATCTATGCGGTAAAAAGGGACACTTCCAACTGTAAAACAACACCCACCATAACTGCCAGTGTGATAACTCCAAGTGCCTTGTCAGCAACGCATTTCTATGGACTTACAGTCTACGTCAACGGGTTGTTGTTGCAAGCTCTCATAGACACTGACAACTGTGAAAGCTACATATCAGAAGCCATCTTCAAGAAAAATAAATGGCCAGTACACCCGTCTACAAACAGAATATTCATGGCCACTACACATCTTTATGAAAAGACATTAGGACATACATTTGCCAATGTCCAATGCAAGGGAGAACACTACCA